TCATCTCATATAGCGGGTCAGATCTTTTGATTTTGATTTTCCGAAGAGGACGGCATAGAAAATATGGTCATCGCGCTGATGACGCTGATGATGATGATGATGATGACGATCATCATTATCATCATCCTAGAGCTGGTTTCCGATATTGGATTCTTCAAGGGGAATTTCTATTTGTGAGTGGAGTGCGAAACGCCGTGTACAACGACACCTCCGCGTTCGCCTCGAATCTGTAATTCAAATCCGAAAGTCAAATTGATTTAACACTCGTCATTTTTCACGTTTCGGCGGCGCCGCGCCGCGGCACGCGGAGCCCCGGCAGCTATCTTTCAATATTTCATCTTGGAGAAGGCCGTGCCCACTCCGCCTTCATCCCCTGTGATAGATGCATTTCTCCGTGATTGTGCTGTCACGTTCTTGAAACGAGGAAGACGCGCCACGAATATTTCAAGTATTATAAATGCGCGGCCGTGTGAACGAATGGCAGTCGACGTTGTGCGTTATTCTGCTACTGATACGCGTATACGGAAAATTTATTTTATTTCCTGCACTGACCTTGCCGACAGTGTGCTGTAAACTATGAGCCGTAAATGTAAATTCCTCTTACATCATGTACGTTAATTATGATGTACTAGTGTGACAATAAATTTTCCGTCAGGTTGTTACAATTGCTATGATATATGTATATATATGTTTGACAACTCTTTAATAAGAAGAATACGGTTTTCGATCTTAGTTAAATGCATTCACACTTCCCCTTCCCCAAGCAACGAGACGCTCCTATTTCAAGAGTCATTATGAGTTAACAGGCATCGCAGGTTATAAATATTTCTCACCTCGTAACCCATCGATATTGAACGGTGGTCGAAACCAGTCGGCAAGTCGTGAATGACTTAGTGCTTATAATCGCGTTAGCCTAATCGGCGGTATAGGGAGTCCGTTTCGGAGTTGAAAGGGACCAAAGGCACTAAAACGGCCCTATTAAGCCTCTATAGACCGCCACAATTGGGCCACCCAATCCCCGTACAATGATGAACGTAGTAACTTTTCGGAGAACCAAGTCTATCGTAGCCCAGGGATTGAAACTATTTTATGCTTGTCACCACTATTCTCATTTCATTGGAAACTAAATGTTAGCACATTTATCAAACTTATCCGGAGAAGAATATTCTGTGTATTATATATAATAATATCTCTCAGATGATTAATTAATTCTAAGATATCAAATTTGGATGTGAAATTTTTGATAGCAATGAATTATCTTCTCTCTCTTTCTCTCCGCATAGCAATATATTTACTATTACATATCGATAAAATATCTAAAAAATTGATAATTGTTATATACGCGTTATATAATGTTATATTTTTTATATAATATTTGATAAATTAATATTACATATTGACATCAATCTTTATTAAAACGTGACGTGGCATTCGGTGTATCGGCAATGTTTCCGGAATTCTTTTAGGAATGCAAGAAGGATATGTGTGTATGTGTGTGTGTGAATATTTTTTTTTTATATATGATTTATCGAGCAGTCAAAGCAGGTTTAATTCGTTAATAAATTCGTTCCCCTCTCTCCTCCTCTTGTTCTCTGCGACGGTGATGAAGGAGAGCCGACCTGAGATGCATAGCTGCACCCCCGTAAACTATTATATAAGCGCCACCCTATCTCTCTGAATCTGCAAAGTTTCAAAGATCTCTTTCTCTTGTCTCTCCATTTCTCCTTGCCTTTCATCCCATAGATCACAAAGAAGCCGCCTCAGTAAGTTCACGGTAAAGTTTATAGGAGACAAAAGGGGAAATGTGTTGCCCGTTGAAAAATCGCCGCCGCTGCAGCTATTATTAATCCACGTCGGGGACGCGTGAGCGTC